AATACTTTGTATATCGTTGGTAAACAAGAGAAAGCGACCAAGTCGATTTGTAAGAAATGTTTTATTTACGTGTATTTTTTCTACATATGGACTTTTGAACAAGTGTAATATCACAATGTGGAGTTTATGTACAAAAAAATAGAGTTGCTCAATTTTTATTTAATAAATTCTGGCAATTAAAAGCTTCTAATAACCATGTCTTCAATCTATGGATTACATTTAGTTTAATAACATAATTATATAGTATATTTCTATAAAAATACTTTTCAGGATCCTTTGGAAAAGAGTGAAATATTATGTTTATCGAAGAATAAGACCTATTTTTGCAGTCTTTATAAGCACACACATTGCCACCATCTCGTCTTTTCCTGCTACTCGTGTCCTGTTCAGTATTCATATTTAACAATACTTACAAATTAGAACGCAATAAAAACGATACTAAAATTAAACCTTAAAAACTCTCAAAACGATAATATATCGAAAAACTCTGAAAACACACTTTAAAAAGGCAAAAATTCAAGAAAACAACTAATCAGATTTGCTTATGTTTAAGCTTGATTAGCACAGCTGATTAGCGTCCTAAAATCATAGGTTAGAATCAATAGAATAAATAAAATGCGCCGTTGTCAGATTTTCAGATTTTATCCGTTTATCTTTGAAATCGATCAACTTTAGTCATTCTGTTTCTTTGATATTATCAGTACATTGCGAAAAAAGAACCTAAACCAACCCAAACTAAAAATTTACATTTCCGTTTTAACATACGTTACTTATATCCTTCTTATATTATTAATTTATTTTCAGAAAATCTTGTTTATTTTTCAAAGAAATATACTTGGCAACAGACAAAATGGAACTTGACGGGACCTTTAAATTTTAATATATCTGCGTCTCTCTCGCGAAATTCGACTTCTTTGTTCACTGTCGTCTCTTGTCTTATCTACTCTTTGGTAGTAGGCGCGTAAAAAGACCGTATTGAGGCGAGCCTCAAATGTAAATTTGAACCTTAAAAGCCGTTCGTTAAAAATATGTATCACTTCCCGATCAGCCCGAGAGATTTTAGGCGACAGGCTGAAAATGCAGAATTGCATTATTTGGGAATTTGGCTTAGTTTGAATCAGAGTTTGAATTAATTCTGCCGGTAATTACACTGTTTTGTCTCTAATTGATTAATATCTACGTTTTTTAATGTGAATTGCATGTTTAATTACTCTTTTTACTGATTATTGTACATATTAAGTAAATACCTAAAAAGTGGACAGTGACTTATTGTTTATAGATATGATGATTTAGAGGGGCCATGCATCATCAGAGGACTTCCTCAGGTAAAGTTTTTCGAATCATTTCTAGATAAATTGTGTATAGTCAAAAAGTAAAGCGACCTGTTACAGATTTCGTTTTGTTTTATTTTTATAGGACGGGTAGAAAAAACAAAATTCTACCATACAGAGTAAAATATAAGAGAAAATATCCTGAGGTCGCTTTGATAAAAATTTACTGTTGCAATAGCCCTATGTAATAGGTATAATACTGCGAATTATATTACATAAGGCTATTTCCGCAACTGCTAAAAATGTAGAAATATTTTAAATATAAAAATGTGCGATTTTTAAGTCTGTAGGTATCTAAAATACTAAAAATAATATACAGTGTGTATTGCGTTTAAAAAAAACTGAGATATAGCATTATAATATTGCAATGTTGGCCGCGCCATAAAAAAATCCCTGTGAATGTGAATTTTTCTCGGATTTCTTTTTTTATCCTACATACATTGCTATATTATACGTACTTAAGCAATAATATATTAATAAGTTAAATTTTCTCCAGGTTTTTATCACTTTTTAAAAGATGAAAATTTTTCAAATATCAATTATCATGGAAATCCCGCATATATAGTGCTTCAAATAAATGAATAGTGTGATGTATGCTGAATTTTATGCTGAACCCAATTCTGTACAGAAAAATAGTAATGCGATTGCAATTTTAAAGAAAATATTTTTTTAGGATATGTACTTTTTAGCCGACCATACCAATAGGTATGGTAGGCTATTAGGATCGGCAAAAAAAGTTTTTTTAATTTCACTCAAAATGAGTTATTTGGATCATAAATGACCTAAATACAAAGTATTTTCGTGGTGTCTGTCCGTCCGTCTGTCCGTCTGTAACACGATAACTCAAAAACCGCTGAACCGATTTTAACCAAATTTGGCACAAAAATACTATGCCACCCGAGAATCTTGCCATTTTTTTTATTGGGATCGGGCGTTGGTAATGGGGTATAGGAGGGGGTTAAAAATTTAAAAAAATCGTAACTCCAAAATTACAGTAGCTAGCGAAACGCGGTTTTCAAATTAAGATTAGGAATAATATTTGCAACAAAATTTGTAATAACATCAAAATCAGTCAAAGTCGCAGTTTTCGAGATATTAACATATTTTAGTATGGGCGGTTATACGTGCCTCCCGGCGCCAATTTTTTTTATATAGAACTTCCTCGTACTAATGGCCACCCTATATACATACTAATAAAAATTCTCTTCTAATGTGCCTCACCATCTTCCAGTGCTACGAGCCGCCCCTGATACCGTAATAGACTCTTAAGGGGTTTTGTGCAAACCGGATTGAGCCAACAAATCGTTAAATGTAAACAGAAACAGAAACAGAAATCGTTAATTTGTGCACTTCAAAAGTTTGGCTTGAGTAAAATCTGTCTCGTTTTGATTTTTAACTGCGATTGGTCTTTTATATTTTGCATAGATGTAGAAAAAACAATAGTTGGAATCAATTCTGGTAGCAGTTATTCCAGTCGGTTGTTTGTTCCTTCAACATTGCGTTTTTGAGAGCGCTAACTGCATTTTCTGGGGACTGGAACCTTTGACCACGCAGTTCATTCTTAATTTTTGGAAAAGTAAAAAAGTCGTTAGGACTGTTTGGAGGATGGTCCAACCCAGGTCCAACATTAGGGTCCAACTATTCCATGCTTTCTTGCTTTAAAAACTCAATTGTTTTTCGAGCTGTGTGGAAACTTGCATTGGCTTCAAAAAAAATCTAGTTTATGGAGACAAAATAGTCTCATATGACACAATCACGCAACAAATTAAGTGTTCTAAACATTACTATAAATAACAATAGAATATAAATTATAAATGTCTATTTACTCTAAATTTGTAGAACTATTTTGTTATTTGGGAGTCTTGGGTCGCTCTGCATATCTTGACTTGTAAAACTTGATTTTCATGCATCCGTTGTCCGACGATACGATGATACGATATTAATTTTATTGGTTGAATTGAAAGGCTTCGATTGGTTAGAAACGGTTAACCAATTTTGAATTAACCAACGAAGCTTTTAAATTTAACCTAATTCAACCAATAAAATTAATATCGTATCATCGTATCGTCGGATAACGGATGCACGAAAATCAAGCTTAAGTCGGAGAGTGAAAAAAGCGGTGGTATTTATTTCATAACTACATAATGCGATATACTTTATCATATATTTAATGCTGTTTCGTTTTTCTTTGTTCAATATATTTTATAAGAGGGGAAAAATCACTGTATTTCTATTATTGTACATTTTTTCGCTGCTGAAACAGAAATGTAACTTGCTTGACAAAATGGTGAATTTAATTTTTTTTAATTAGTCATGGGTTAAATTATTCTTGTGTATATGTTACGGTTAAGGTCCGATGTCCGGTTAATGTCGACATTACCCGGTTAATCTCGAGAATAACACACAACGAAACAACCAAAAACATAACCTAACCCAAATATTAACATGTTAATGTCGACATTAACCGGACATCGGACTTTAACCGTAACATATACATAAATAGATGGGTAAAATTACGGGGGGACATACACCTGGATGAAAAAAAAACGGCTAAAAGACAACAACTTTTGCCTAGAGGCTACTTTTCTTTTTCATCATTCATCAGTCACATTTCATTATTTAATAATTATGCCTTCACCATTTTGTCAACTTTAAACCTTCTTGGCAATCCTGACATTCGGTTTAATTCAGGTAATTTTTAATTAAAAAAAAGTATACCAGCAAATTATACAGGGTGTTTCAAAAAACATGTGCCATTTCTCGTGGGGAGAATTCTCACGTAAAAATAAGATTTATTTTTCATATCAATACTAGTTGAAGCTTGGCGCATCCGCCACGACATCAGGAAAAAACATACTTTTATTTTTTTTAAATAAATGAAAAACAAAAAATACGGCGACAACAGTTTTTAGGAGAGCCAATTAGCTATCTTTTAGTAAAAAAAGCAACTTTCTAGAGCAAGTCGTTACTTCAGTAGAGACGACACAGATAAACATTAGCATTTTGTATATTATGTAGATGGTTCGGCAGTGATTCTGCTTTGTTTCGTACCTACGTAGGAGGTTAAAGTCTTCATTTTTTTTTCTCGGTTTATTATAATTTTATGGGTCCTATTTATTTAAATGCTAAAAAAGTGTGGACCGATTCACTATATGTATAGGGACGTGCATGTGGGTTATCATTGGAAATTTTACTTTTATTAGGAAATTTATATAGGCTATTCAACGCAATTTTATTAACCACAATTAATAAAATTAAAATAAAATTAATAAATTATTTATTTAATGTAATGTAATTACTATATAAAAGACCATACCATAACGTGGTATACTGATGCTTCCAAAACCAAAGCAGGAACAGGGATAGGAGTATTTGGGCCGAAAACCAATTACTCCGAACCAATGGGCATCTACCCCAGTATCCTTCAGGCAGAAATTTACGCTATCTTTTTATAAAATTTACGCTTCTTTTTAAACTGTATGCAACCTTTGGGAATTTTAAGTTCATAGGAGTTGTGATATGGTATGAGAACTATGAAATATATCACTAAAATTTTAATATTTTTTTTCTGTATCTATTTTAACTTCCGATTTTCCAATGGTGGATCTCGAATCGGAGACACACTGTATATCCTAACTGTAGGATTACATGGTAAATGAAACACAAATATATAATTTAAACTGTTACTTTATTAAACGGACAGCATTGGTAGGTAATACAGCTAATGTAGTAGGTATTTCGTAAAGAATAAACAAATTTATTACATACTTAACATTACGCATAAATATTACATATGGCAGTGCTTATTAATAGACATTTTAAATTATAACGAAATAAAATGAAGGCAGTGATCCTTTTGACATTAAAAACAAAGCGAATAAGTGTTGTTTCCTTTTTTTCTACATTGACTAGACTAAAATAACGAAGAATATCGAATAGGAATGTTAAAAATCTAAAGAGAAATTAGCAACGAAAAATCACTGCGATATTATTAAAAAATAAAATAGCACCAAAACATTATGAGAAAGATACTAACAAATTGAAATTTAAAAATCTTTAAAGCTATATATAATAAAAGACATCAAGGATAAAATCAGCATCACAAAAAACAAACTAACAGTACATAATATATAAAAAAGCATACTTTTATTTACCCAGAGAAATAGTACCTACATTTAGTTACATACATACAATTAAAGTTACTATACAAAATATTTACTTGTCATGGCACAAGAGTATTAGGAGATAAGCTTTTTATACAATTTGATTTTCACCCACGTGGTCAAAAGTACTTGATCTCCTGTTACAAGTATTGTTATCACAGCAGATGATCAAGTACCTCAAAGAAGGAACACTCATTGGTTGAACACAGGTTTCTATCGATGGTTCGTTTATGGAAAGAGAGAAACCATAAACGAACAACCAAGATATATAGTTCGCGTTATTACAAAAAAATGTTATCCTAAAACGACTGAATATTTTACGTGTTCTTTATACAAACTTTGCATCTGCTGATTCTTTCGCGAATGTTGCCAGCCTTAAGCGTTTGCTTTTGGGGTTTCTGGAACTGCTGGCTGGACTCGATGGTGGCCATCCAGAAACTGAGCATGTTGGAGAAGTAGTGGCAGTGACCTTGGGCGCCGTTGCACTCGATGAAGGGCGAGGCGCGGAAGTCTTCCAGACAGGATCCGGGGCTGGAGAGGGACTGGCCGCCTCCGTTGCCTCCGGCACCAGTGTGCTACAAAGTCAGTAAATTGTTAGTGCAAGTTTTATACAGAGTGATCCGAATTGTATTCGGAAAACACCGACAACATATTCTACAGATAAAAATAGGTAAAAAAAATTGTCCTAAAATGCTCCGGAGATACAGGGTGTGGAAGTTTCACTTTAATTTCGATTTTTTCAAATAATTTCCGAACTCTAACATCAATATTTGGAGGAAAATTGGTGTGTGGGAGGTTTTTGACAGGAGAAATTTGATTTTGATGTCAATATCACTCGTACTTATATATGGGGCGTTAATTAATAATAACTTTTTGTTCGTATCTGTATAAAATAGCTGAGTGAAAAAATCTACATTTTCGCGATTTTTTACGTAAAAAAGATCTCTTGGTAAACATTGCTACAACTAATGGTCCTCCAGATATTCAGAATCGAAATAATCAATACAAGACATAAGTCATCATTAACAAAAATTGAACATTTTGACTAGATAGTTATTACAGTAAAATCATAAATTTGAAATGTTTTCATAATTCATATTTTTTTGAAAAATTATGTCCAAAAAAAATGTATGTATTTCAGGAAAACATCTACAGGGCGGGTCAAAAAAGTATAAGTGGATCAGGATTATATATTTTTTTTAAATGGACTATGTATGTATGTTATGCATACGTATACCCTTGGATTCCTTTCTGTCCTTTCTGATCACTTTACACAATCCTAAGATATTATTAAATATGTTTTGGTAGTTTCAGAGATATAAATAAATAAATAAATAATAAATAAAAAATATATATTTTCAGCTTTTCCTAAAAAAATATTAAAAATACAAGGACCTGAAATCGAATCTATACTAGGTACTTACTATATAGTTGGTCTGTAATTATTTTGCTATAAATGCATGGTAAATACAATCTTAAATGTTACAGAGTTTTCAAAATTCTACGTCAAACTCTACCGGGTGCGTCTCAAAAGTCGCTTACCCCTATAACTTTTTTATTTTTTTAGATAAAAAAACGAGATTTGGTATGTTAGTATATGACGTATTCAATCGTTTTCGGTCACTTCCTGTTTCACCGGAAATTACTACAACTGTTAATTTCTAAATGGCACCCTCGCTATTTTTTTTATTTTTTCGATAGAAAATGACACTCATATGTTAACTTTGAACTGAATCGAATGACATATCATATGTTAACTTTTGACATATTCGCTCAAAAACAAATTGTACTTTAAATTTCAATCTAGAGTGTATGGCTGTGCTAAAAACACTAATTTTTAATCAAGGAGCCTTGGAAAAATAGATTTGATCATCTAATGTTTTTAATGTCTTGTCCTGGCCGGTTAAAAGATGCCCAAATTGTGTTTTTAATCATATCTCAATTTTTTCAAATGGAACGAGGGTGGCTCATTAGCATATTTGAAAAAGGCATTTTTTTACGAATAATTTGATACCACACACTTGGTATTTCGAGTCAAATTGTCGTTATGAACCGCATGTTACAATTTCAAATAAATCATATGCGAAAATGTCAAAAGTTGACATATGATATGTCATTCTATTTAGAGTGTCATTTCCTATCCACCATCCAACCAATCAATATGACTTGTGAATAAAGTAAAAAAATACCGAGGGTGCCATTTAAAAACCAAAAGTTGTAGTAATTTCCGGTGAAACCGGAAGTGACCGAAACCAATTGAATATGTCAATCCTCGTGTCAATCAATCTTAATTTATGTCATATACATACCAAATCCCGTTTTATCTAAAAAATAAAAAAGTTATAAGGGTGAACCACTTTTCACACACACCCGGTATAATGTAAAATAATTTTTCTTCGTATTATTTAAAAGAAACACCCTGTATTTTTTTTTGTTAAATGCAAAGCATAAAAATGAACATTTTTCGTCTTTAAAGTGTTTTGTCTCTAAATTTTTGACGGTTTTGCAGATTTTCGCGTATTATATTACATTATTATGGCTCTTTCCCAGTAAACTATATCAAAGCCATCTAATGATTTTAGTCTGGTTGAAAGACCATATGTAATAATATTAATATATACTTGATATACATAATAATTATGTAATAATATACGCAAAATAAATGTAATAATATACGCGAATAATAAAAGCTCAAGGGTTTTTTTTGTCACATCCATCCCGCCGAAACCGCTTCACCAATCTTGATGATTTTTTTTAAATGAAAGGTATATATGTGTAGATTTGTTATGAAGTATTTTTAAATTGTTGAATGGCTATTTGTTTGTGTAAATCGACTAAATATTAAAACATACCTGAAAAACACCTACACACAATACCTCCAGAAATACATTATTTGTCATTGTCAGTGGTTTGTCAGTTAGATTATATATCAAGTTTTTAGATATTTTAGGGGTCAGTTCATACAGCCAGCTTTAGATTCATAAATATTAGTACAAAGGTTCGTTTAAACGACATTAGTGAATTAGCTACACAAAGCGATTTTAGGAAATTCATCCTCTTAGAGGGTAAAATTATGTCGGAACAATTTGTTGTATGAAAATTCTTTACTATGTGGTCCAGAAGAATGAAATCCTACAAAAAGAATTAGAAGAGATTTTTGAAATTCATCAACCAAATGGGTAAAGTTAGTAAAAATTATATAAAACTTGGTGACCTCTGGATTATACACATAAAAATTGGCACAAAGGATCATTTAAAAGACATGAGTTAATTATTTGGATAAAGCGAATTTATGAAATTTATAATCTTAGGGAGTAGAATAAGGAATGAAAGTTTGCTGTTCGAAAATGCATTACTATAACATCTAGCAGTATAAAATGTTATACAAGGGTTTATTTAGTGACACATCAATAATATGAACGAAATATTTTTTCTTCAATTGTCCTTCAAGGAATAAAAAATAACTATAAATACAGTATTAGTGCTCTTAATAAACCAAAAAAAGATGAAAAATAAAAAAGTATCAAGGGAGTATATCAAGTAAAGCGACAATTGAAAATTTCAAATATTCATTTGAAAACTTCATATTTCAAAACTATTTATTTTAGTAATACAGTTTATATGGGACCATAGGTAGGGGTTCTATCTATAGGGGGTAAATAATCATTTCACTATTTATTATTTTGGAGAGATCTTATTTTTCCAGATTTTGCAAAATTTCTTTGAAATTGACTTTGGCTCGATTTCGGAAATAATCTATATATAATTAAGAAATAAAAAAACGCCCTGGAAGATCGCCATCCACCCTCTATCCAACCATACATAATTAGTTTCAGTCAATGGAAGTAGTTAGAAAAAATTGAAAAAAAAGTGTAAAAAAAGCAAGATTTCAAAAACATTTTGTGGCCAAAATTGAACTTCTTTGAAATACTTTGATTTCGATAACTTCTAGATTTATTCAGATTATTTATTTCAGACGGGTCTAATCAAAAGTTTTATTTTGGGTATACAAAGTGTGTCATAAAGTCATATACAGGCGATTAAAAAATAAAAAACGGCTTTTAAATTTTCGAATTTTCTTAAGTACATAATATTTAAAAAGAATAAAAATGCTCTTGAAATTGGAATATTGATGGCTTTTTATAAATTTTAAGTAAAAAATGTGTAATAAGTCAAAAATAGTAAGTAGTATGTATATTTGATCCCAGAAACACGATTATGAGTTTTTTCGCGAAATTTTTTTTGAAAATTTGGAATTTTTTGAAAAACATTATGGATTTTTTTTTAGTTTTTAGTTAAAAACCATAATTTCTTGATAATATGGCAACATACGTAGGTAGTAGATTAAATTTACAAGACAGAAAAACGCGAAAAGCTGCAGTGGTTCTCAAAATTTAAGAACGTTTTTAAAGTAAAATAACTCAGTTATTTTGAAGTTATTTGAAAGATGGTAAAGAGAAAATATGTTTTTTTTATCGAGATCTACCAGCCCTGAAAATATTTGCACTTATTCAAGACTTGCCCTGTATAATACCCAGAAAATCGACAATTGATAACTTTCATATGAAATACGAGTAGCTCTAAACTCTTAAAAACATAGTTTAAATAGTGCATTTGTAAGGCTCACTAGCTCTACATACAAAGGAGTAAATCATTTAAATCAATGCATGAACTATTCGAGGTGTAACGCGAACGTAGTCGTGGGAAAAACCTAGTATGTAATAATACCCCGAATAAACCGTTAACAATTGAGGCGTTTTTGCAAAAACCCCATTTGTCAATTTTTTTCCAAAATGTACTTACGTCATCTATAAATTGATGGAGTATTTAACTACATCCCTTGCGTGAAATAATTCCGCAAAAATGATAGTAGTCCAAGATATAAGCGACAAAAATATCGCTGATTCTGCATAAATCCCATATATGAAGGTACGTTTTCACGAAAAACCACAGATGTCATTGACTTACGTTGTTTTTACGGGAAACTATGAGCTCTTATTATCGAAATTATCGGAATTTTTTCTTAAGTCTGCTCATCCACCAGTTAACCTGTGGTTGTTTTGGTACGACAGACTTATACAGATAACTGGGAAAAATGCCTTATAAAAGATAAACGTGGTATACCCAAAGAATTTGAATTTAAATCCTTCAATAATAAACGTTTAGATATTCCACAGCGAAAAAATGAAAACCCATAAGATTTAACTGAATATTTTAATCAAACCGAGGTCAAAAACTCTTATAACAGACTATTCACGGAATCATCTTCTCCGTCCAAGCAGATTACGGATTTAGATGACCATGATATCAGTAGGTGTTATGAGTGATGAAGATTAATTATTAATTTTATTGTACCTACATACATATTTTGAATAAAAATGATCTTTTGAAAAAATCATTTAACAAAAATGTTTGGTTTGGTTTGGTTTAAAAATATCTTTTTTCTATAAAACTATAAAAATTGTCTGCAAAAACCCCATATATCAAATTAAAAATGACCCCTATAATACAACCGATAGAAAAAAAAAATATTTATATTGCGAAATGGTGCCTAATTATCAAACTGATCAACTACGAATATTAAAATTTTTGTAATCAAACTTACATCCAATTAAAAAACTTATTTTTACTTTTCTCGAAAGTTGCAATTAATGACAAATGGGATTTTTGCAAAAACGCCTCAATTTTAAAATACTTTAAATACAAAAAATGTTCATTTTTTAATTTCCCATATAACAAAAAAATTTCAGGATGTTCCATTCAAAAAAGCAGGAAATATTATTTTGTATTTTAGAAAGTTTGACTTGCAATGTCAAGTATCCTGTATGATTTAAGTTATAATAAAGTAAGTACCTAGCATAGTTTTGATTTCAAAATACAAATCTTAAATTTTTAATATATTTTTTTAATAATGCTGAAAAACATATTTTTTTCATTTATTTATTAATATCTCTGACGCATTATCAAAACAAATTTAATAATATCCAAAAAATTTGTGAAGTGATTAAGAAGGAAGCCAAAAATGCAATAATATACAGTGTCTTGCAGTTCAAAAAATATCTCGATCCACTCACCCTTTTTTGAGTTACCATGTAGTAGTTAAAATATTTTGCTGAAGTAGTACATAAGTTATTTTTTATAGGACCTGCTTTTAATTATGTTCAACTTACCATGACAAAACTGTACCCTATCCATAGTGTACTCCAAGCGTAAGGACATTCTGGCAGTGACGAACTTTGACTGTGCACAGCTATAACATTAGCCGGAGCTTCGCAAACGACACATCGGGAAATATATTCCTGGATGGCGTACGTCTCCACTGGCATCATAGGAATGGCCGCATTTGTTGACAACCAATACGACTTGTCATTTCTACTGGCGTAGTTGCAGACGTTATCGATGTCGCAGAACACAAACGGCATCGTCGAAAATTTCCTCACGCAAGAACCGGCCATTCCCAAATCTTGACTGTGTGCTTTCTCGTTTCCTAGAGAAAAGAAAGTTATATTTAAGTCATTTTTTAGTGTCTCTCTCTAAATTAAAAATGAAATATGCGAGGTCAATTATACGAGGAAAAACAAAACGTTGATATTTTGGTGAAAGTTTGAAACACCCAAGAAAGTTATATTTAAGTAATTTTTTAGTGTCGCTCTCTAAATTAAAAATGAAATATGCGAGGTCAATTATACGAGGAAAAACAAAACGTTGATATTTTGGTGAAAGTTTGAAACACCCTGCAAGGAATTTGAAAATAATTTAATTGTCTAGGTACGTCTTTTCCCGATAGCACAGATTATATACAGATTATAAACTTTGTTTTTTCTTTATTGTTTTTCCTGGTTCCAATTTTCGGAATCGGGCACTAGTTAGGTTACTAGTTTGCGCACATAGCACGCCCACTTACGGCCTATAAAATTGTGCACAGCGCCTGACCTTTACAGTTATTAGAGAGATATCGGAAAACCGAATAGCGTCATGCAGTATTTACGCGTACCTTATCATGGTTACGATATGCGCGAGTCAATTTTTAACGCAACACCCGCTAATAACATTACCGTCTAACGTAATTTGCGGATCAATTACACCAAGCGCTATTTCTAAATAACGTTTAAAAATTGCTTAAATGGGCATGTGCGGGTATTTGACAACCGGGGCCGGCCGGCGAGATCTTTTATTTTAGGTTATGGGTTATGTTTGAATTGTTTTGAATTATTACGTTAGTTTTATTAGGTAATTTGATATTTAAGTAGCTGGGAATAGTATTAATTAAATAATGGCCCAAAATATGGATTCCACCTCTTCCAATATTAAAGAACCTTTAGTTTTAAAATACCTAGTAAACAAAACAATTTCAAAGTTTTAAATTCAAAGTTAGGTTAAGTTTAAATAGCGGACGCGACGCGAACAGAATTCTTTCCGATCCGATCCGATAATAAGCCGACCTGGCTTTATTAACGTCCATGCACGCTATTCGGTTTAGCGGTATCTCTCTATTACGCTGTTTATTGTTATTTTACGGGAGTTTATTTTTGCGCACAGGAAATTTTACTCCTTTCACATCGTCATAAAAGACAATTTTCGTACCACGAATTAGGGATAAGATTTTTATCTGTATACATATAGTATACCTAATCTGTGCCGATAGTTTGTTTTTTGATTCCTCTCAATAGCTTTATTTTTATTGGAGATATTCGCTTTTGAGACAGTAACGATTTACAGAAATTTTAGCATTGATTTTGGGTCCTTATCAACATATGTACCGGGTGTCCCACTAAGAATAGCTCTCGGCTGTATCTCGGAAAGTATTAGCAGTAGGGGCAGCGGAAAAAAATATTTATAACTAATGAGGCTATGAGAAATTGCTAGAAATTATTTTCAAGTTTGTAGAACGACCGCTAGGGGGCACAACTGCAACAAAAAATAAGAAAATGGAGTTTTAACACAATTTTGCCTAGATAAGTAACAACTTCATAATCTTCAGCAAATTTTGAATATTTTTTGTTAGAGCCATTTCCCTCTATCTACCAAAATAAAGTGGTGGGGGAAGGTTAGATCTATCTTTATTTAAATATTAATAACTCTGGACTGGATGATCGGAATCCAACAAGCGAGGGCTCGTTTAAAAGAGCGTTTCTTACTCTATACTATACCATAAAAATAATAATAATAAGGTTTTGAACGTAGACGCTAGGGGGCGCTTTCTTACAATTTAACAAACATAGCGCGTTTTTCTAAAAAATTAAATACGATAGTATGTGTTATTTTAGCTGATAGTAAAGAGTAGTAAAAGCTTAAAAAGTCATCGCAAACCGCATCTTGATACCTTCCTTCAAACCGAAGATATTAGCAAAATTTTAATAAATACCAAAAAATAAGCCCTTAATTACCTTATTTTTACAACACGGTATCAGTAGCCCTCTTGATTAGGCCCATTCTAACAAAAAATAAGATAGAAACAGTGTGTTTATTTTAAAATCGACGAAATACCAGAATAACATAATACCAGAGGTATTAATATCTAATAATTAAGATATTAATAACTGTGGACAAGAAACGATGATTCAGTGAAGTCATGGTAGGCTTTGGAAAAAAGTTGCTTTTGTCGTAAGAGTATAAACGTCAAATTGTTATTAGATCAACATTTTGATAGCCTTAGCAGCATTTTTTATTGCCTTTATTATTTGAAGTAGTTGAAGTTTTTGGCATTTTGAAAAACCGATCAAAAGAAAATCATAGTCCACTGTTATTAATATCTTAATTATTAGATATTAATACCTCTGGTATTATGGTATTCTGGTTTTTCGTCGATTTTAAAATAAACTAACTGTTTCTATCTTATTTTTTGTTAAAATGGGCATATTCAAGAGGACTACTGATACCGTGCTGTAAATTTAAGGTAGGTAATTAAAGGCTTATTTTTTGGTATTTATTATAATCTTGCTAATATCTTCGGTTTGAAAGAAGATATCAAGATGCGGTTTTCGCTGACTTTTTAAGTTTTTACTACTCTTTATGACCACCTAAAATTACATATATATTGCATTTAATTTTTTTGAAAAAACGCGCAATGTTTGTTAAATTGTAAAGCAACGCCCCCTAGCGCCTACGTTCAAAAGCTTATTATTATTGTTTATATTGTATAATATAGAGCAAGAAACGCTCTTTTAAACGAGCCTACGCTTGTTGAATTCCGATCATCCAGTCCAGAGTTATTAATATTTAAATAAAAACAGATCTAACCTTCCCCCACCACTTTATTTTGGTAGATAGGGAAAAATGGCTTTAACAAAAAATATTCAAAATTTACTGAAGATTATGAAGCTATTACTTATAGTACACCTTATCTAGGCAAAATTGTGTAAAAACTCCATTTTCTTATTTTTTGTTGCGCCCCCTACCGGTCGTTCTACAAATTTCAAAATAATTTCCAGCAATTTCTCATAGCCTCTTTAGTTATAAATATTAGCAGCCCCTACGGCTAATACTTTCCGAGATACAGCAGAGAGCTATTCTTAGTGGGTCACCCTGTACTTATAAAATAGTGTTTGTTGTTTTTGTAATGTCACTGTTATTGAAAAGTCATGTTATTATTGTTTATTGACGTTTACTCTGGTAGAGATAGCTTTAAGTTCTGAAGTATCGGCTATTGCTGATTTTTAACTGGAAAAATTGAGCATGGATCAACTTTAGAACTTAAAACCATATCTGCTAGGGTATCTGCCCAACAGACAAAAATAATATGATTTTCAATGACAGTGACATTACATAAATCATAAACACTATTTTATTTATAAAACATTCGAAAAAATGTTTGTGTCTTCTTCAAAAGCCGAATATCTCAAAAAAAAAGTTATTAAGATGAATCAAAAAGCAGACTATGGAGAAAAGATACACCTAGATGACAAAATTATTTTTAAATTCCTTGCTTTGTTATCCTTGTTCTTTGCTTACCTGTGGAGTACACAGGGTGTTTCAAACTTTCACCAAAATATCAACGTTTTTGTTTTTCCTTGAATAATTGACAGATTACAACTTTCATTTTTAATTTAGAAAGGGATATTAACCGATTTCGTATTTTTCTTACCAGAGACGTAGAGAAGCGAATATCCATCCCAGAGTTTGGTGTGTCCTTGTGCGCACTGCGGAACTTCACTGGCCTGACTGTGCCGAACTAACAATGTTCCTGTGAGATAATCTGATATGTGCTCGCATGGTATCCCAGGTTCACCCTTCGAACCTCTGTCCCCACTTATTCCATCGAGACCAGCTCTACCGTCTATTCCAGGTTCTCCTTTAGGTCCTGCAAGTCCAGGGATTCCAGGACTGCCAGGATAACCTCTGTCTCCTTTATCTCCAGGGAAGCCCTTTTGGCCAGGACGGCCATCTACACCAGGCAAACCGAGAGCACCAGGAAGTCCTTTAAAACCTGGTTGACCTCGTTCTCCTTTAATGCCTGCTAGTCCTGGACGCCCAGCATTACCTTTATCACCCTTCTCACCAGAAATACCAATTGCTCCAAATTCTCCTTGAAGTCCAATAGCACCTTTAAAGCCTCTCGGGCCTGGTAGGCCTGGCATTCCGTTTAATCCATCACGGCCTTTGTCACCCTTATCACCTTTAGGTCCCACGGGCCCTTGTAAACCACTTAGACCTCTGTCGCCTTTTTCGCCGGGAGAACCTATTAAACCTGGTGGTCCACGTTCACCCTTTTCACCTGAGAGACCTTCTAATCCGGGAGGTCCCGGCCTGCCTGGTGGTCCTTCAGTTCCCGGTGCACCGTCAAATCCTCTGTCGCCCTTTAGTCCTTGGGGTCCTAAAGGTCCTGGAGGTCCTTGGGGTCCCGGTCTTCCTGATAGTCCGGATAGACCTATGTCACCCTTTTCGCCTTGCAAGCCGGGAGCGCCTTCTCTTCCATGTTTTCCGGGCAATCCGGGTAAACCTTTTTCTCCTTTTACTGTTAGTCCGGTGGCTCCGGGAAGTCCCGAAATACCTTGCTCACCTAGAAGAAAAGTCAATACATTAACTCGCGTCAAGCTCTTATAATTTTATGCTATTTAGCTCCCTGGTTCCGACAAGGTCATATGCGATGCGTACGCACGTTCTCAGGTTCGTAAAGTTTTTTATTTACTGGAAGTTATTTTGGCGTTCAATATAAAATATTTGAAATAAATTATGCATACATACTTTATATTTTGGATAATTTGTTGCTCTTAGTCGTTGTGCCTACAGCAATGCAAATAAAAATCTTTTCGTTTGCATTGCACTAAAGTCAATACAGAAACTTATTCAGTCCAAATCTTTTTGTACAAAGTATTTTTGTATCTTCTCTCTTTAGACCTTAAATTTCGCTTCCCAAACAAATGCAATTTTTCAAATACATGTTTGAATTTTTGAACGCTCTGTGTAAGAATATTTTATACACACATTACATTTTTATCTCAAAGTAAATCGATTTTTTAGTAAGAAGATTTTTTTATCCAGAAATTAATTTTTGGTCGTAAAATACCTAAATATTTTCTCTATTTTGTCGTAAATAATTATTTCCCTCGTCCATTCAATATAATAGACTGTATACAGGGTGGTCCGAACTGTATTCTGGAATCTTCGGCAGCATATTCTGCAGATAAAAATAAGTAAAAAAGTTCGTATAAATATATGTCCTAAAATGTTTAAAATGCTCTTGGAGATACAGGGTGAAGAATTTTCATTTATATTTCGATGTTTTCCAAATAATTTCTGAAGTAAAGTCAATATTTGGATGAAAATTGGTGTCTGGGAGTTCTTTGACACGAGAAATTTGATTTTGATGTCAATATAACTCCTATTTGTAGGGGGCACCACAAAAAATATACGTGATTTTTTACGTAAAAAATGTCTCTTTGTAAAAATCGCTATGAGCAACCGTTCTCAAGATATTTAGAATGGAGATAATCAATACATGTCATTATTGACAAAAAATAAACATGTTGAGTAGATAGTTATTTGACTGAAATAATAAATTAGCGAAATTTTTATTTTTTTTAAATTGATAATACATCTTTAAACAGTTTTTGTTTTATTTGTTCAACTTTTGGCACAAAAACATTTCAAATTTATGATTTTAGCCTATAACTATTTAGTCAGCATGTGTAATTTATGTCAATGATCATAGGGATTGATAATTTCGATTCCAAATATCTCAAGAACTATTACTCGTAGCGATTTTTACCAATATACCTTTTTTAGCGCTTGGAAACTATTGGGTGAACAGTCCAGTCCAGATGTTTAATACAGCGATCGCCATTTTTGGAAGCGACCATTTCTTTTGCTTGTTTAATTAAACTCATTTTTCTTTGTCTAAACTGTTTTTATTACTTATTTTCTTTGTCTAAACTGTTATCTACTCGATGGTCGTGTTTCATAAGCGTTCACCAGAAAGATCCAGTGCTGAATAAGATAGAATAAGCAAAGCGCAAACTGTTTGCTCTGGTGAACGCGGCCATTGATATCAAAATCAAATTTCTTACGTCAAAACTTCCACACCCTGTATCTCCGAAACGAAGCATTTTAGGAAATACATTTATATAGATACCAATTTTTTTACTTATTTTTATCTGCAGAATATGCTGCCAAAGTTTCCGGAATACAGTTCGGACCGTCTTGTATATGCCTAATTTATTTCATATATTTTATTTTGAAAAATAAAATCCAGTAAATACAAAACTTTGCGAACCCGAGAACGTGCGTACGCATCGCACATGACCTTGCCGGAGCCAGGGAGGTAAATAGAATTATATGCGCTAGACGCGAGTAATAAATTATAGAATATTACAGGGTGTTTCAAAATTATATACCTTTTCTTCCTTCTGGTCCAGGCCAACCGCGATCTCCTTTAACGCCAGGGAATCCCACGTCGCCTTTCTCACCCACTGGGCCCGGTGCTCCGGGGAATCCTCTATCGCCTTTGTCACCAATCCGACCTATTAGACCAGCTGGTCCAGATTCACCTTTGTCTCCTTTAATAGGCACAAAAGGTCCCGGTGGTCCCCTTTCGCCTATATCTCCTGGTAGACCCGGGAACCCTACAGGACCTATAGGTCCATGAGGACCGATTTCACCTTTAAGTCCATCATAGCCATTGTTTCCAGGTTGTCCCTTGTCGCCTTTTAGACCGGTCAGACCAGGAATGCCAGGAAAACCTCTGTCACCTTTCAAACCGACCATCCCATCTTTTCCATCCAGACCGGGTTCTCCGTTAATTCCTGGGAATCCGCGATCGCCTTTTCTTCCGGATAGACCTACCTGACCACGATCCCCTTTACTTCCTGGTGTCCCAGGACTGCCATCAACACCAGGTGGTCCACGATCACCCTTTATTCCCGAACGACCAGGAAGACCGATTCCAGGCAATCCAGTATCGCCCTTGAAGCCTATCGGTCCTGGTTTACCGGGCAAGCCCTCAGGACCTCGCGGTCCATATTCTCCCTTTTGTCCCTTTTCACCGAATGTACCAGGTTCACCTTTTCTGCCAGTTAATCCTGGAGTACCGTCATTTCCTTTGATTCCATCTAAACCAGGAGGTCCAGGTAAACCGGGAGGGCCAATTGGTCCTCTATCACCCTTACTACCGCTGAAGCCTCGTTCTCCAGGCATGCCAACTAAACCTTGCGGACCCGGTGGTCCGGGATATCCTTTATCGCCTTTATCACCTTTAGGACCGTCCTGGCCGTCCATACCAGGATAACCCGGAGCGCCTGGTCTTCCTATTGTTCCTTTCAGTCCCTGTAATCCGGGTAGTCCGGTTTCTCCTTTATCTCCCTTAGCTCCGGGGAAGCCTGGTAATCCCGGCTTTCCAGCTGCGCCAGAAAATCCTATAGCTCCTTTTGGACCGGGTTCTCCTTTTGGTCCAGTTAGTCCGGGTACGCCCGATGGACCTAACGGTCCTGGTTCTCCTTTGGGACCGACGGGTCCTGGAAGACCGTTCAGGCCGGGAGTTCCGATGTCACCTTTCTCGCCTAGCAGTCCGTTTAGTCCGTCATTTCCACGCGGTCCAGGTTTACCGGGGAATCCGGGTAAACCTTTTTCCCCCTTTACACCTACAGGACCGGGAATGCCGGGTGGTCCTACTTGAGGGATTCCCGCTTCTCCTTTGTCACCTCTAAGCCCTTGAAGTCCCGGCAGGCCTTTTACTCCGTCTAGACCGTTCTCACCTGGGAATCCCATGGGTCCAACGTTTCCTTTATCTCCTCTAGGTCCCGGTAGTCCTCTTCGGCCAATCGGGCCGGGCGGACCTTGCAAACCGTTCGTTCCTCTGGGACCGGGACGACCAGGTTCTCCTTTCTCGCCTGGAGTTCCAGGAAAACCACTGGGTCCTTGGTCACCCTTTTGTCCGGGTGCGCCGGCATTGCCTTTCATTTGAGCTATGACACTTGCCGCGCATCTGCCGGGAGCGCCGGGTCTACCGGGAGGACCTGAGTCTCCCTTGTCTCCTTGTTCGCCGGGGAATCCTTGTAAACCTGTTTCTCCTTTGACGCTGTCTCCTTTCAGACCTTTATGGCCGGGTTCTCCGTTTCTACCTGGTAGACCGTTTATGCCGGGACGTCCTGTTAGGCCTTTGTCGCCTTTTTCTCCAGGGAAACCGGGTTGTCCCATGTCGCCCTTAGGTCCGACGAAACCTCTCTCTCCTTTGGGACCGGTGAATCCTCGATCTCCTCTCTCTCCCTTTTCGCCTTTTTCTCCTTTAACCATGTTCATGGGTATTTGGGCCGGTCGGCCGGGTGGACCTTCGGGTCCAATAGGGCCGTCCATTCCATCTTTACCCTACAAAAAATAGCTAGAAGTTAGAAGTTTTTATAAGTGAAATAGGTCTAAAAAGAGCCCACGCCATAGGAGAAACATGTCCTAAACTAAGATCTCCGGTATATTCTCTAGATAAGATACTGTTGAGATTTGATAATTGAGAGATAATAACTGACTCGATTTATAATTGAGAAAATTAAAAATAAAAGCACATACCGGGTGTCTTTCAAAAGTGGCTCACCTTAAAATTTTTCAATTTTTCAGATAAAAAAATGAGATTTTATATACTAAGGGCTGGCAAAGGTTAGTCTTGGGTCGAGATTTCCGTATGTAAGAAGAGTACAATGCGTTTATAATGTACTGAACAAAGAGAGGACAGTAAACACGTTGCCAAACGTACGAAATAAACCGAGAAACTGTGCACATCGCTAAGAAACATGGAAGAGGATATAGCAGATTAGTCGCAGTTGACCGGTCGACCAATACCTCTGTCAGTACTTAAACTTCTATGGAAAGGTGTACGTCATGCGTTCAGCTTCACGATTTAATTACGTCTCGTGATACTTAATTTTCTCTATAGCTTGAATTTTTTTAAGTGCAAGCTAGAAACACTTGCATTTTTGGTAAAAATAAGTGGAATTGAGTGGGTGTTCGATAGTGGTCGCGCTATTAGAACTCTGAATTCAAAAATCGATATCTCGAAATCTATTAGAAATAATAGGTTGTAGTTTTTTCAAGAACTTTGTTAATATTTCTGCTGTATTTTCTTTGTAGACAGTATGTGAAAATCTTTATCAATAAATAAATTACACGATTACTGAAAATTGTTATGCTCTAAAAGTAAATGGATGGATTGTTTACAATTTTTGAATGGAAAAAACAACCTTATCGATTTTTTCTTATGTAAACATATTGTAAAATATCCGATCTTGAAAATAAAAAAAAGTTTCAATATCTAAAGTGGTTCTTGAGTTATGGCCTGTTATGTGTTAAAAAGTTGAGTTTTTAAATTATCGCGATTACTGACGTTTTCTCGTTATGAAAAAATGACACCCTAACGATATCCTTATAATTCCATTTCAGATGCTCAGAAACATGTCTAATGATTTTATCTAGTTATCTCTTGAAAAAAAAGTCTTTTAAAAATAAGCAGTTTGCGATCGTGATTTTACTTTACTTGATAGGGAAAGGCGTATCGGCAACGCCGCAACAGCACACCGTCGCGCGTCGCGTCGGTCCGTCGCATTTCTCTCACTCCGACTTAATAAGATCCCTATGCGATTTACTTCCACACATGTAAATGCCGACCCAAAAGTAACAGTTGCCAGCACGGTATTAGTATATGGCATATATGGCATAAATGATTGAGGATTGATTGACGCATTCAATTAGTTTCATCCACTTCCTGTTTCACCGGAAATTACTAGAACTTTTGATTTTGAAATTGTATTCCCGATATTTTTTTAATTTATTTGATAGAAAATGACTGAATCTGAATAGAATGGCATATCGTATGGCAACTTTTGACGTTTTCCCTTAAAAAAGCAGCATTTTTAAATTTCAATCTAGAGTGCCCTGGCCATAAATGTAACGACAATTTAACTCGAAGTACCACGTACGTGGTACCAAAATATTGGTAGAAAATGCTTTTTCCAAATATGCTAATGAGACACCATTGTTCCATTTGAGAAAATTGAGTTATAATTAAAAATACGATTTGGACATCTTTTAACTGGCCAGGAAAAGACAAGAAAAACATTAGACTATCAAATATATTTATCCAAAGGTCTTAATTAACAAAAAAAAATTGCTCTTTCCCCTTTTTAATGCTCCAAATGCTCTTTCACACTATATTAGGGTTTCCTATACCTATCTAGTTCAGATTTTGAATGAAAATCGATTTTTCAATATTTTATCAAGAAAAATATAGGAGTATCTGCTGACGGAATGAATGGATATGTTATTAGTGATCCAAATAGGAATCTTCCTGATAAGCGTTCCTTTGAAAAACTACTTGTCCTATTTCGCAGAGCTGATAGTGTGGTTTATAAAAAAAAACCTATTAGGCAGAAACCTGTCGTTGGAAGTGAAGAAAATGAATTTGGCGTAATTAGCTCTTTTATAGAAAATCGATATATCTATAAGTCATCGTAAAATAAATCACAGAACTACTTCTTCGTTTTTCTTGATAGAATAATAAATACATATTATATTTAATAAATATTATTTACTAAATTATTATAGGGGTAAATTAAATAAAAGTAAACTGGTATACATTTAAATAAACTCCAGAAACTAATTTCGAATAGCTACTAACTGTTACTAGAAACTTCCCATGACGACATTAGCCCTCATGGTTGTCATTTTATTGAAAAATTGCTCTTTATTCAAAACCTGAGCTAGATAGGTATAGGAAACCCTATTAGGAATATATAGGAAGTTTATTTCTTTGGCCTAAAAGTCAGCACAAGAATTAATTCTGAAAATCATTCTACAGGGTGTTGAAATTTTTTTTATTATAGCATGCATATTTAAATATCTTTAAATATCTCGAAAACCAAAGCTTATAAACATATTTAATATTATTTATGATAAATGCCTTACTTTGTGGCCAAATATGAAATAAAATACCGGGTGTTTCATAAGAAAAAAATATAACTTTGGTATGGATATTAGTGCTGACATACCCTGTACATTTCAAAATAATTTTAAATTATGTACATTGTCTTTCCACGCATACCCATAAAATAGTTTGTTTCTACATCTTTCCGTTTTCATATAATTAACCGAGGCGAATAAGGTGCGCCACCCTGAATACATGATGCCGTGAGCTATCTTTATTACCATTTCAATCAAATCTATTTTTCTTCATAATATCTTACGTCTTTTCCAGGAACTCCAGGTATTCCCATAGGGCCGTCAAGTCCTGGCGCGCCCATAATTCCAGGTGACCCAGGTGGTCCTCTGGGTCCCACCTCACCATCTCTACCATCGAATCCTCTTTCACCCTTATCTCCTTTCTCACCGGGGCGGCAATTCTGGCAGGTGCCACCTTTGTCCCCTTTCATCCCGTTGATACCCGGGCTTCCGGGTATGCCTGGCCGTCCAGCGTTACCTTTTTCTCCCTGTGGACCTGGGAAACCGATTTCACCTGGTATTCCGTCCCTTGAATCGCCGGGCGTACCGCGCGGTCCTTGGTACCCTTTTTCACCTTTGGTCCCTTTCAAGCCATCGCGACCTGGCGAGCCGTCTTGTCCTTTGGGTCCCTGAAATTAGACACAGCTTAGTAGGGTTGCCTAATCATCAGTTCTCAATAATATAATAAAAATATAATAGATATAATAATAATTTTCGGTTAACGAAACGCGCGTTCTGTGTTAAAAGTAAAGTGGTTAATGGAAATTAGCGCACTTGTAGGTGTAAAGGCCTTTTTATGCTTGTCTATATACTAAATATATTATATTTTAAAATGTTTTTGTGTATTTTGGTGAATTAGTGTTTTATTTTGCCAAAAAATGCTCATTTAAAGATAATTAAATAAACTAATAAAGGCAATTATACAGGTTATACAGCTGAAACGTTTTATTTTGTTTAGGTTTTGTTCTAGTTGTTTTAGATTTAATTGACTGTTTATTAATTTAGTTTTCAACTTTTCATTTTTTATTTTTTCATAATTATTTATAAATTTCGAATAGTTTTTTTTAAGTTAACTTAAATGGCATGAAATATATTGTTTCAAAATCCGATGGGTACATAAAATTTTACATTTAAGAAAAAACGTAGCACTAGTGCTGTCCCGATTTTTTAAATACAAAAGGTGGCAACCTTGCAACTGAGTGAAATTGTAAACTATCATTAAACTAGAAAGGTTGAGTGTATGGTGTAGAGCTAACCTAATCTAACCTAACCTTCTTGTATCATGGTGTAGAGCATTTAGATGGGTTACTATGTAACAAACTGTTATTTTACAACATTTATTTAGATATAACCTAACCATAGTTACTTCTAAAAAATTACCGGTATAAAACAACGGAACGTAGAGACCGACAGCTATATCGTATAAAAAGATATAGAAATATACAGGGTTGTTCACCACATCCAACACGGAATATTGTAGCTAAACGATTAGATTTTTACAAATTGTAAGTTTTGGGTTCGTTGAAGGACTATTAGAGCTACAATTTAAAAATATTTTTACAAGATACAGATTGTCCCAAATAAGAAAAAAATATTATAGTTGTATTTTTTTAAACGGAACACCCTGTATATTATTCTATTTTTAGATTCTGCGATTGAAATAAAGGTAAATTTGATTAAGGTTTATCATACTTAAACCTTACCGTTTTTGAAATATTTTCAATTTTATGAAATTGCAGTAAACATTTTAAGGCTTCATTTCTACAAGAATATCAAAATTTTTAATACTAAATATTCACTGAAGTTTATTTATTAATCAGATATTGTGTTGCAATAATAAATAAAATTCTACCTTATGCAGAGTGCAGTTATACATTTATTTTTGGACACTGTATAAGGTAGTATAATTTTTATTATTGCGACAGAATATCCGATCAATAAATAATCTTCAGTAAATATTTAGTATTAAAAACTTTGATACCCTTGGAGAAATGAAGCCTTAAATATTTTACTGCAATTTTCCAAAATTGAAAATATTTCAAAAACGGTCAGGTTTAAGTGTGATAAACCTTAATCAAATTTACCTTTATTTCAATCGTAGAATGTAAAAATAGAATAACACTTCACAATCACAACTATAGTATTTTTTACTTATTTGGGACACTCTGTATCTTGTAAAAATATTTTTAAATTGTAGCTCTAATAGTCCTTCAACGAACCCAATACTTACAATTTGTCAAAATCTAATCGTTTAGCTACAATATCTCGTGTCGTATGTGGTGAACAACCCTGTATATCAAAAATACTGGGTGCGTCTCAAAAGTGACTCACCCCTAAAACTTTTTTATTTTTTAAGATAAAAAATGAGATTTGGTATGGATTGATTGACGTATTCAATTGTTTTTAGTTACTTCCTGTTTCACCGGAAATGACTACAACTTTTGATTTTTAAATGGCACCTTCGGTATTTTTTTACTTTATTCGATAGAAAATGACATTCTGAATAGAATGACTGTATTTTAAAATTCTAGATTGCCATGGCTATATTAAAAACACTAATTCTTAAACAAGGAGCCTTGGAAAAGTAGATTTGATCGTGTAATGTTTTTAGTGTCTTATTCTGGCCAGTTAGAAAATGCTCAAATCGTATTTTTAATCATATCTCAATTTTTTCAAATGGAACGAGAGTGGCTCATTAGCATATTTGGAAAAAGCATTTTTTAGGAATAATTTGATACCACAGACTTGGTATTTCAAGTCAAATTTTCGTTACAAACCGCAAGTTATAATTTTAAATAAACCATATGCGAAAATGTCAGAAGTTGACATAGGATATGTCATTCTATTCAGAGTGTTATTTTCTATCGAATAAAGTAAAAAAAATACCGAGAGGGTTATTTAAAAATCAAAAGTTGTAGTCATTTCCGGTGAAACAGAAAAAAATTGAATACGTCAATCAATCCTAATTAATGCCATATACTAACATACCAAATCTCGTTTTTAATCTAAAAAAAATAAAAAAATTATAGGGGTGAGCCACTTTTGAGACACCCGGTATATTTATCCACGAAGTTTATAACATCTAAGGAAAATATACTTGCCACTATGGATAATCCTTTTTCTCCAGGAAAACCACGCGGTCCTTGTGGTCCTGGTAAACCTTGGTACCCTCGCGGCCCCTCCCCACCAGGGAAACCAACCATACCAGATTCTCCTTTATCGCCCTTCTCACCTGGCGGACCTTCTGATCCAGGTGTTCCAGGTGAGCCGGGTCCGCCTATTAGTCCCTGCGGTCCTCTTGCGCCGGGCTCGCCGGGGAAGCCATCCGTACCCTTCGGTCCCGGCGGTCCGGGATATCCTCTGGGTCCTGCCGGTCCGGGTGGTCCGGGTGTTCCTTTGCCGCCTCCCGGTGGTCCTGGAGGACCTCGTAGGCCGGGTAAGCCGGCAGGGCCGTCCTTACCGGGTTCACCTTTGACGCCGGGTCTTCCGTTCAGGCCTGGTAAGCCTTCCATGCCTCTGTCGCCTTTAAGGCCCACTGGTCCTGGCGGTCCCGAGTATCCATCACGTCCCTGTTTGTAACATTGAGAGAAATATTTTAATTTTATCAGTGGTGAAGTAATATCCTAAATCATACAGGAAGACGATTGGAAAATTAGGGACGATAGGGTGGCCCGAACTGTATTCCGGAAACTTCGGCAGCATATTCTGCAGGTAAAAATAAGTAAAAAGCTCGTATAAATGTATGACCTAAAATGCTTAGTCTCGGAGATACCTACACCCTGTACTAAGTTTCACTGTTATTTCGCTTTTTTTCCAAACAATTTCTGAAGTACCGTCAATATTTGGATAAAAAATAGTATCTGGGAGTTTTTTGACATGAGAAATTTTTTTTTTCATGTCAATATGACTCCTATTTGTAGGGGCCGTCACCTACATGTGTTTTAACTGTTTTGAAGAGTAATAACTTTTCGTCCGTACGTGTAAAAAACTACAGAGTGAAATAACATACATTTCCGCGACTTTTTACGTAAAAGATGTCCCTTAGTAAAAATCGCTACGAGCAACCAAGATATTTAGAATGAAATAGTCAATACATGTCATTATTAACAAAAAATAAACACGTTGGGTAGATAGTTATTTGACTGAAATAATAAATTTGGGAAATTTTGATTCTTTTTAAATTAATTAAATTTATCTGCGAAAAAAATGATGATCAAACAGTTTCTTTTCTCAGTTTCAAAGTTTCTCAACTTTTGGCACAAAAATGTTTCAAATTTATGATTTCAGTCTAATAACTATTTAGTCAACATGTTTAATTAATTGTGTCAATGATGACAGTTATTGATAATTTCGATTCCAAATATCTCGAGAACTATTACTCGAGATTTTTACCAAGAGCCCTTTTTTACGTAAAAGACGTCGTAAATGTACATTTTTTTACTTAGTAATTTTATACAAGGTACAGGCGAAAAGTTATTACTCTTCAAACTAGTAAAAAAATATGTAGGTGGCGCCCTCTACAAGTAGGAGTCATATTGACACCAAAATCAAATTTCTCATGTCAAAAAACTCCCAGGCACCAATTTTCATCCAAATATTAACGTTACTTCATAAATTATTTGGAAAAAATCTAAATAAAAATGATATTTCTACACTATGTATCTCCGATACTAAGCATTTTAGGACATACATTTATACGAACTTTTTTACTTATTTCTATCTGCAGAATATGCTGCCGAAGTTTCCGGCATACAGTTCGGACCACCCTGTATATCAGGTTAGGAAAATGTGAAATATACAGGGTGGTCCGAATAGTATTCGGGAAGCTTCGGCAGCATATTCTGCAGATAAAAATAAGTAAAAAAGTTCGTATAAATTTATGTCTTAAAATGCTTTTTTTCGGAGATATGAGATCATTTTTTATCGATTTTTTCAAAATAATTTCGGAACTAATGTTGATCTAAAATTTCGGCCATACGAAATTCGACCGTTTTCTGTTTAAAAGCAATTTGCCTGACTTTCGGAGATTTTAATAACTACCAACAAATAATTAACCAAGAAATTCGGAAAAAATAAAGGAATGGACGAAACACGTTTACAAATTTATGACGTCATTTTTTTTAAAGAAAACCTCCGAAATTCGGATGCATGAAAACGAAACTTAAACGTTTTGACATTTTGACGTAACCAATTTACTTCTTTTTGTTTTCTAGCTTACTACTAAAATTTTTAGACCTTATAATCCTAGGCGGTAGTCTAACATAATTTGTTCTCTTAATATCTCTCATTAGGGAGAGGTTAGAAAGTTGCGGTTTGCGCTGATATTTTGGAAATTTTGTGCTTTATTTTAACTGTGCAAAAAGAAACAGAACCTGTAATTTAAATATTTTATGCAAAAGAAGAATATCTGTTATGATGTCAAACAGCGCTCTCTAGCTAGCACGAAAAATCTATGGAAACGGAATTTATACTGGAAATTATTAGGGAAGAAAAGTTCTTTTAAACGAGCTCCAGTTTGTTTAAATCGACTAACCTAAACCAGAGTTATTCTTATTTTAATAAAAGCAAGTTTAACCTTCCCCCGCCACTTTATTTTATGAGATACAAAAGAGAGATTGAGAGCAAAATACACAAACCAAATCAAAAAAATTACAAATTTGATTTACCATTGAATAAAATAGCAATATTTAAGAAACTTCTCCTTCTGCATATTTTTTATAAAAATTCTGTTTTCTAGTTGACCATCACAGATGCGGGTCCTAGCTGACATTTTTTGAACTTAAAAATAATTTCCAGCGATTTCTCTTGGCCAGTTTACTCATTACAATTTTTTTTCCCAAAGTTATACGACAAGTAGTTGTTGCTGGCGTCCACTCTTAGTTGGCTACCCGGTACAAATAGGCTTGCGCAAACCGGTTTGCACATATTATTTGGAAGTTTAAACCCCCCTTTAAATGTAATTTTTGTTATATCAATTAAAGGAGTTTTTGAGGGGATATCATGCAAGATCTAGGATTGAAAAAAATCTTACATCTGTGTACTAAATTCAAGTTACTTACTCTAGGTCCAGGGGAACCTGGTAAACCTTTTTCTCCCTTGATTCCGGTCAATCCGGGAATGCCAAAATCACCATCCGGTCCTGGTTCACCCTTGGGACCTGGTAATCCGATCCTGCCGATGTCGCCCTTCATACCGCGTTCACCTCTGGGTCCAATCTGCACGGTTCCGTTTTGAACGAATCTGTCCGATCCGGAGTCTCCCTTTTCACCCTGCGGTCCTATCTCACCCTTCTGTCCTTTCTCGCCGATGTAACCGATGCCCATTTGACCTTTTTGTCCTTTCAAACCTTGAATACCACGAGCACCCTACAAAAGTAATAGGTATATAAATCAAAGTAATACATTTTTTACAGGAAACCCACAAATACAGATAGATACTTAAATTCATGGGCGACATCACAGTATAAGTGTAAAAAAAGGTGTTATAAAAAGTTTATCTGATCGGGCAAAAATAATATGTTCAGACGACATTTCACTCAACAGATATATAAACAACATAAAAAATACATTAATAAAAAACGACTATCCACCATATTTTATTGATAAAACATTAAACGAAATACAAACCCCAAATCATAGACACAATGATAACAATACACAATAATATGCAACTTACAATTCCATATATACGAGGCGTTTCGGAAAAAATAAGAAGGATAGGAAAACAATATAACATACGAACGTCTTTCAAAACACAAAATACACTTAGATCCATGTTATCACATACTAAACCAATGAATACAGAACAACAAACAAAAAATGTAATATACAAAATACCCTGTGAATGCGATAAATTTTACATTGGTGAAACATCTAGACCCTTAAATGTTGGAATTAAAGAACATAAAGATTATTTAAGAAAGGGAGATTTTCACAAATACTTAAGGATTTTTTGTAGAGATGAATTCGCCACATAGGTATAGACATGTTTTACATTTTTTTGTTTTTATTTTTTTAGTAACTAAAAAAATTCGGTATTTTTTATATCACCATTATAACACAGCAATGCAATCTACTAAAATATATCTTACCGCCGATCCTGGAAATCCTGCAGGACCAACTGGACCCGGTGGACCTACTGGTCCAGGATTGCCTTGAATTCCTCTAACTCCGTTTCTACCCGGTTCACCTTTCTGCCCTTTCAAGTTGGTTTGACAGTAAGCGGGTTCACCTTTGTCTCCCTTCGGACCAAAAGGTCCTGGGAAACCCCTAGGTCCGATCTCGCCAGTTATACCTGGCAAACCGGGACTTCCCTAGAAACAGAAATAATGGTCAAGAAACAACCAAGTACAGTGCTATCAACACAATGGTTAAAATAGTTGACGATCCAGTTTATTTTGTGTATCTTTTATAAAAAAGACATTTCTTAGTTAATTTTGTTGGTGCTGAAAATGAAAATACCAATGAACCTAAAAATTTAATGGTAGTTTTTAAGTTTTTAAATTTTATTTTTGATAAAATATGAAAAAATACACTCAGATGCAAAAATCGGACAAAATTTTCCTAGAAGTTAAAGTGTTATATATTTTTTTATTTTTAGTCCTATTTTCATGAATTTTTTAGTTAACTGTATATCAATATATCAATTTTAATTCGTAATCTCAACTTTAGTTTTTGGTATATTCGTATTATACAGGGTTAATCAAGGAATCCCTTTTTTATCTTAACTTTAAAACACAATGTGCAATAATAATTGTGTGTAAATTTTCCTAAAATAAATATAATTACTGAGTATTTCGTTTTCTGATTCATGTCAGCACATGCCTTTGTTAATATTTAAGAGCGAAATGAACTTGCCTCCAACAACTTGCAATTTATTCTACTAATTTGAAGATTTTGAAGAAGAGTTTGTTAACTTTTTCTATTAATTGAAAATTACTACCATTAGAAAAAAATAGAAAGAATAAACTTCTCCGCTAATTGAAATCACTAATTTATTCCACTAATTTCTAAGTGTTGAATCAAGCTTAATTAGTGAAAAAAGTTAAACATTTCTTATCTTTTTTCAATTAGTTAAAAATTACTACCACTAATTTTGACGTTCTGAATGGTTACATTGAAATTAAAGGAACAAACTTCTCCGCTGATTGAAACTAGTGATGGGAATAATCGAATTATTTTCACCATCGAATTATTAGTAATAATTCATATTTCACAATCGAATTAATAATTCGAATTATTTAGTAGTATTATAAATTTAACCTAAAAATAAATTCCCAGCTAGTGCTCGTCTAGGGGCTATTTTAAACAAATCTGAACCATTGCTATACCTATATTCTATCACTGAATAAAAAATAAAAAAAAAATTCTTTATTCAATGTATTCTATTAACTGTGCCGAAGCCGTTTAATAAATTAAACCATAATTTAAAGTTTTAAATTTAAAAGTGCCGAGTTTATGATTGTTTCAATTCCTATTGAAAAGCTCATATCTAAAATAAAAGCTTCTTCTAAAACGATTGTTGCATATCAATAATTATTTAGATAAAAGAATAAAATTAATTTTAGTGTTCGGCAGGTGTTCGGTGAAATTTGGGTGAGATGGAAATGAACCAAATAATAGTAGTATTCTTTCGTTCTGAACGAAATGAAAATTTTCACTTAAACTGATTTATTCCTACGTGGTATAGGAAATCACAATTTCTGGATTTTTCTATATCGGATGGTTCCTTTCTTTGTCGATTCCCTTTATAAATCAGTTTAAGTGAAAATTTTCAGTTCGTTCAGAACGAAAGAATACTACTAATAGTACTATACTAATTACTAATATTCGTATTCGTCCATAAGATGTTATGTTTTATGTTCATTTGTAATTCGGTTACCACAGATAAATATAAAATACTACTAATTTTTATCTCGATTATATCGAAAAAGATAATTCGAATTAGTTAGTTTTAATTTACTATCGAATTAGTCGTATTATTTAATTCGATTTTTCCCAACACTAATTGAAAGCACTAATTTATTCCACTAATTTCGGGGTTATAAATCAAGCTCTATTAATTGAAAATTATTACCACTAATTTTGATATTCTGAACGGTTACATTGAATTTAGAGGAACAAACTTCTCCACTAATTAAAACCACTAATTTATTCCACCAATTTCAAGGTTATGAATCAAGCTTAATTAGTGAAAAAAGTTAAAAGTTTCTTTACTTTTTCTATTAATTGATGAAAATTACTACCACTAATATTGACGTTCTGAATGGTTACATTGAAATTAGAGGAACAAACTTCTCCGCTAATTGAAACCACTGATTTATTCCGCTAATTTCGAGGTTCGGAATGAGACTTTTATTTTATTTTTTATACTTACATCGGTACCATTGCATCCATCCAATCCCGGAATACCGGGTGGTCCTTCGGGACCCGGTAATCCTGAGACTCCGTTAACACCTGGGTATCCTGGCAAGCCGGTCTTTCCCCTGTCACCTTTAGGGCCTCGCGGTCCAGCCGGTCCTGTTTCACCACGGTCACCCTTTTCTCCCGCTATACCTTCGTCGCCGGGGAATCCCCGGATACCTTTATCACCGGGTACACCAGGAATACCAGGAAAACCCTGAAACAGAAAAATAATTAATGCCACGTTATACACATGACCGTATTAAACGAGTTGCAACAGAGACACCTGAGACAACTCTTAAGACTCAAATGGTTCCACCGTGTCTCAAACGTATTGGTCCTTGAAAAAGTTAGGGCGAGAGCGTTGAAGTCATGATTACTAAATTCCGCTTAAGAGATGGGCTGGTCACATATGCTGGATGAAGGAAAACCGCCTACCAAAATCTCTTCTTTACGGTAAGCTTGTAGATGGTAAGAGCAAACCGGGTGAACAACTCAAAAGGTACAAGGATATTTTCCACAAAAGGGGAAAAAACTTAAAGGGGATAAGCATGTAGAATCAGTGGGAAGAAGCAGAGCACGCAATGGAGAAGGATTGTAAACTCAGTTAACAGCGACAACCAAAAAGCAAAGAGGCAACAAAGCAATGAGGTTTTTGAATATCCGGAGTGCGGAAGAGAGATAACATCACGTATCGGGCTTTTCAGTCACAGGAAAGCTCATGAAAGGAAACGCCTTGCGTAACCATCTTCTGATGCGTGTCAAATACTCGTCCGCGAGCAGTGGCAGTAGTAGTAGTAGCAAAGTAGGGTAGTTACCCCACCCTGTCTGACAGGATCATGCATTTTTTTTTAAATTCAAATAAATATTCAATTGAATAGCAATTTTAAAGTTACATTAGTAAAAGGATACTTACTCTAGCACCTTTCTCTGCAAAGCACTTAGGAATACATCGTTCGCTTCCGTTTTTGGGGCCCAAAGAGCTACCCGGTGCTTCAAAAATGTCGTAGCTGCTAGAGTACGGTCTTCTATTTTCGTAGGGGCTGCTAGGATATGAACCATAACCACCCGACACAGCGGCCGCTCCGTAAGAGGAAGAACGACTGGAATCGTAGTTTTGGGAGCCTCTGTAACCGCCTGTATTGTATCCTCCATAACTACTTGCAGATTCGGATTCTAATGTGATCAATAACAATTATTTAAAACAAACAATTGACTATACAGGGCGAGTCTGAAATAATTGCAAATATTTTCAGGGGTGGTATATTTCGACCCCAGGAACACGTCTATGAGGTTTCTTTTCGCAAAAAAGATGTTGAAAATCGTGCATTTTCTTTAAAATTTCCCTGTATATTTTTCGAAAACTTTTTAGAACTGCCTGTTCAGCAAAAAATTTTCCACGGTATAATTTCTTAATCTCTGATATTACCATACTTACAGCTTTACTCTATGGTTACGGCACTAAAATGGATGTAAATACAGAAAATATCCGGTGGCTCTCAAATTTTTTCCAAAAATTTTTTTTTTTAATTTTCAAACTTAAATAACTCGGTTATTTTGGACTTATTTAAAAAACGGTAAAGAGAAAATATGTTTCTTTTATCGAGATCTACCAGTCCTGTAAATATTTGCACTTATTTAAAACTCACCCTGTATATTGTAAGTTTTTGAAGAGATTTTTTTTTGAAAATATTTTTTTTAGAGAATTGGGAAAATCCATTTTTTGAATCTACAGTATGTCCACGGATTGTTTTTACAAGAGGAAACACTTTTTTATTATTGACATTTTCAGAAGAATGCATTCTTCATAAAAATCTTTGCTTGTTCTAAAACGGTTAACCCCGTTTATACTTTTCCAAATTTTCATACCATTTTACAAAAAAAATAAGAAAAACATGAAAATATGGTTGAAAAGTCCTAAAAATCAAAAAGGCGTTACTATGGTAATATCAATTCGATTTCATTCTTTGATAGATGGTTTTTATTAATTCTAATTAATGTCATAGTCTTTGCTGTTGTTAAAGTATCATATTTTCCGATAACTATCATCACCCTTTTCGTAGCATTGAACTAAATAAATGTTGTGCTTCTTTAACATTTTAAAACAACAAAAAACATTACGTTAATAAAGATTTTATGAATAACAATCTATCAACGAAAGAACGAAATCGTTTTAATTTTTAGGAATTCAGAAAAACTTCAACCGTATTTTCATGTTTTTCTTAATTTTCTCTAAAACGGTATGAAAATTTGGATAAACGGGATTAACCATTTCAAACAAGCAAAATTTTTTATGTAGAATGCATTTTTCCCAAAATGTCAATAATAAAAGTTTTTCCTCTTGTAAAGATAATCCGGGTACATACTGTATACAGTAAAATTAGTGTAAATAAAAAATACATTAATTAATAATTACGTACGTCCTCTTCCTGAATAATCATACCGTCCTGAGGCCGATCCTGCACTTTCATAACCTAAATATACAAAATTATATTATTTTATTTCTTACTGTAGAATCTTCGAAGAGTAGATTAGTAGAATACTATATGTCACAATGTGAGATGGAGTATGTAGCTAGAGGGTATCCAGAAAAAAAAGGGTTTTGTAGTTAAAATTAAAAGTAGGTAGTGTTGATCTATAATCATTATCAGTGGCGTGCATGGTTTATTAATAATATTTTACACCCATACAAATAAAATGGAACACCCCAAACCTCAACACAATAAACCACAAAAGACCAGAATTCAGTTTAAATTTCGAATAAAGACTGAAATTTTATCTTAAAAATCCTCAAAATTGAGAAGAGTGGAAAAATAGAGAAAAAAAAACTTATATTTTCAAATGTTTATCATTCTTTAAATTGTTCTAATTTAAGTAATTCCAATTTTTATTTCCCCCTCCATCCAAAATTTCTACGCATCCCATTGCAAAATCCTGCTATTCATAATTATTATTCAAAGATAAAAATTACTAACAGCAAGCTGAAAATATATCAACATAAAACATACCTCTTGATTCGGTGTAGACATTACTGCCAACATTTCTGGATGTGTCATATCTGGTGTCGCCTGAAAAGAAGTCCTTATTAAAAATTGATAAAAATTGTTACTGCACTTGAACCTCTTCTATTCTGTGCCTGTCATATTAGTGCACGGCATGCCAGATCTTACTTATATATTTTTTTAATGGTCATAACCACACCTCAAGGGATTATTATATTATATACCATCACCATACTCTCGGCAAAGTCAAAGCAAAAAAGAACAAAGATTGCAACAGCGAGAGAAAATGTACAGGGTGTTCCATTTTTGTGTCTTTTATGGGGTTTCTTATTTATGAGTAGAGACACAAAGATGCAGTGTTACATCACTAAAACTTTTTCATGAAACTAAAGATGCTACAGAAAGATTTGTCCTAGCCCTCTTAGTTTAAACTTAGTAACTTTTTAAAAAAGTTTGTGTCATATAACTGATAAAATAATGACGAAAATTACACACCCTGTATATTATTTTTGCCTTGTTCTGTGATTTCTCAAAATATAATAAAATATATACTTATTTTCATAAATACGGTAACAAATGCATTATTTAACTTTTTAACATAAATCGTCCTAGTTTAAAAGAGTCTTAATTTATTTAATTTAATTTAACCAGAGATAATTTTGCTTTCTATAGTATGATCTTAATAAAGTGCACTGAAAATGAACTTGTGCAATTTTTAGATAACACGGGCTGTCAGAGTTATTGATATTTTTCAAGCACTTGTGCAATAATTTCACACACACACACTCTAACGTGGAATAGCTAAAAACCAAAATTTGGCATCGAATAAATTATTCGATTGTTTGGAATAATACCTAATTTAAACCGGCCGCCTATGTTAAAAAGTTAAATTATGCATTTTTTACCTAGTTTATGAAAATACTTATAAATTATTATATATTTTTAGAGAGCCCGTAACAAGATAAATAAAATTAAAAAAAAAATAATATACAGGGTATCCCATTTTAAAAAAACACATAAGATTGGGTCATATTTCTAGAATAACAGCTCCCAGAGAAAAGCTAGTTACAAAAAATGCACGCAATACTAGCTAGCTAATTTACTTTCATAAAAAATAGTACAGTAATTGAAAACTGTATCTTTTACCTCTCTCTACTCATAAACGATAACAGTACAACTAGTACAGGGTGTACACGAAAATGAGACATCCTGTACACTTGTAAACATAATATGTTTAGTAAATGTATTTAAATTTAAATTTCAAATTAACATATATATCTTTGTTCTTATTTTTATTAAAATAAAATAATTAGTAGATATGTATTTCTACAAAATATTACAACACACCTATTTTTTCCAATATATTTTTAGTAGAATATGTTTTTTTTTCTTATCAATAAACCTGTAAGTTTCATGTTAGCAAAAAAACGGACAAATTTTCAGAACTCCATAAAAATACATTACCGAAACCAAAACCAAAAAATATTAAAATAATACCAAAACTGTTTCATTTATTAGTTTTTATAAGTGGGTATCTCACTGAAATATCATACCTCCAGATATTGATCCGGATACTGATCCGGATACAGCAGAACTTCTACTAGTGCTTGCAAAAGATTCGCTCCTGCTATATCCTGTTTGATAGATGTAGAATACAATACTATATGAGCCATTAAGAATAAGGTATATTGTTTATAGAATTTTCATTTTTGTAAATAAAAATTACCCAATTTCTTTAGTTTTATTTACTAAATATTTAAAAGTAACTCCCTGAAAAATCAGTCCAAAACCATTTTCTATGTGCCTATATGGCTGTTTGTACTTAAAACAATTTTAAAAGAAACAACTTTTTTATATTCTTTTTCTGCCTATTTGTTCATACCACAGACTTATAGTTAAAAAGTTAGTCTGTGCTCATACCTTTTTCTTTTGTCTACGTATCTGACGCTAGGAAATGTATCTGACGCTAGGAACAACGATTAATGAAGATAAATAAAACCTTCACCATTTTGTCAACAACTCATATTTTTTCTCCTGTTGATATTTTTGAGAATCGAAAATAATTGATAGAAGTATAGCATTTATGTTGCTTATCAATAATTGCTAAAAAATAATAAAAAAGTTATAAAAAAGCCGTATTCATTTAATAAAAAAAAAGGGATTCGTAAAAACTATTCAAATTGAATTAATTTGCTTCGTTTTAATGTTTTTTAAAAAGTTTTTTCAAGTGGGAACATTTTCTCATTATTTTTAAAATTTATTTAGGATTTCCTATGTTCAAGTCGGTGAAGCTACACAAGGTATATGTATGTATTACCCTTGTATAGAATATATAAACAAGGGTATTACGGATAATGATAATACAGGGTTCGGCAATAGTGCATCGGGCAAAAGTTCGGCAATAGTAGCTCCTAGAAAAACAACTTGAGAATTTTGTTTAAGTGCAGACTAAGGTATGTACGAAGTGTAGTAAACGAAGTCAAATTATTTTATATTTTAGGAAGTTTGTCGTAGAATTTTGAACATCTTGTATGACTTACGATTACCATATTTATAGAGCAAAGTAAGTACCAGACCATCTAAAGTAAATACCTTATACAGTTTTGATTTCGGGACAGTTCTTGTATTTTTAATAATTTTTTAAAGAAAGGCTGAAAATATATATATTTTTTATTTATTTATTAATTAATATCTCTGAAACTATCCAAATATATTTACTCATATCTTAGGATGAAGTAAAGTGATCTGAAAGGCAGCCAAAAAATGCAATAATATACAGGGTGTTCCCACTTTTTTAAACCACCCACTCACACTTTTTTAAACCACCCTATAGAAGTTAAAATATTTTTCTGAAATACATCCTAGTATATACTTTAGGTCTGCACTTTAAAAAAATTCCCATGTTTTTTATTCTAGAAGTTACAGATGCCCGACGCACTATTGCCGGACCCGGTATATGAGGTATAGGGCAACGATAATACCCGGCCAATAACATAAGTACAAAATTTCATTGTATAGTCTCGACAAAGTTTACATATTTGTCCGTAACATATACATAATATTTCATATACAATAATTATATTTTGATCAACCAGATATACTGTAGCCTTACCTACCTCTGTAAGCACTAGGCCATCGGGTTTCTGATGATGAGGGGGCCTCGTTTCCTCTTGGCTCTCCTCCGCTGGAGATTCCATAGGACGACGTGGCCGAGTACGACCCTCCTACCCCATAACTACTGCTTGTCGACGTTTGCGGTACGTTTTCGCCAAAAAGGTCAGTACTGTCGACAAAAGAACTTAGTTTACTAAACAGAAAACATTTCTTTATCTAATAAACTATAACAAAGTTATACCACAGCCTAAATTCTGGTTAACCAGACCCATGTAGCCTATATACAGGGTGTCCCAATATTCCGTAGAGATAGAACCACTAAGTATTTTTGGAATAAAAATAAGTGCATTTCTCGAATCTCAAATTCCAAGAGGGTGTAAACGCCCCTCAAATATTACAATATTTGTTATTTAAAAAACGGTTAGTCTTTCAGGAAAACGCTTGGACACGCATAATTTATTCTGTTTTTTACATATTTTGAATTTTTTTAAAAAATCATACAGGGTGTTCCAAAAAGTTGGGTAGTTGATTAACCACGATTCTGCTTAAACTGCTTGACGTAAAAAGCTTATTTTTGGCAAACGGATTTTTCGAAAGTCAAATTGCAACGAGATGAAACTACCCCTCAAATATTACCAAGTTATATAATAATATCGCCATATTGTTTTTTCTCATGCTGATATAAATGTGAGAGAATTTTATCCAGTTTGTATGTTAATGAAAATTCTTGCTTTGCTTTATAATCACCTCTACGCGAACGAAGTCGTGGGTACACGCTAGGTTATTAGAATACAGGTCATGCAACGGAAAATGGAAAGGTCCATGTTGGGAGTTACACTTAGAGATAAAATACCCAATCATACAATACGAAATCGAACAGGAGTAAGAGATGCGGTGATATCTGTCTTGCATCTTAAATGGACTTGGGCAGGACATGTGGCTAGGATGACAGATGGACGGTGAACAAAGAAACTTGTGGAATGGAGACCAAGACACGAGGCCTATAGAAGCAGAGGACGACCCCCTAGTCGATGGACAGATGATATTAAAAGAGTGGCTGGAAATTGGATTCAAGTTAGGCTAGAGTTAAGGGAGGCTTTTGTTCAGCAGTGGACGGTATAAGCTAAATGATGATGATGATGTATAATTAACTGATCTTACCTTTCTTCATTATCCTCATCTTCGTCTAAGTCTACGTTTCTGTCATCTGGTCTGTACTCCACTCTGCTACCGTATTCGCTGGAGTATGTTTCATAGTCTCCGTCTGCGTTTCTATACGACCCTCCCGCAACTCGCTGTCTATTTGCATTGTTCCTATCGTTACTCCTTCCGTACAGACCCGTCCTGTTTGCCCCACGATAGTTTCCGAGAAATTGCTGAAATAGAAGACATTTAGTTAGTGTCAAATTTTAAAAATATCTATACTAATATATAAATTCCTTAAGTGACTGACTCACTGATTAATCACCATCCTGCTCAAACCACTCAACGTAAGAAGCTCAATTTTGGCATACAGGTTTATTCTAGGGTGTAGAGGTTCGATAAGAGGGGATTTTTCGAAATTCCAGTTCCAAGGGGGTGAAACCACCCCTCAAATATTACAATATTTTTTATTTACAAAAAGTTTCCGAAAATACGCTTTAACACTACTTATATTTTATTTTGTTTTTTTTACATATTTTAAGATTTTTAAAAATGTATACAGGGTGTTTCGAAAAATCTGGTTATTGATTAATCACGATACTGCTTAAAGCGCTTGACGTAAAAACCTGATTTTTGGAAAACGGATTGACCTTGAGGATTGATCTTGAGGTTCGATAAGAAGGGATCTTTCGAAACTCGAACTCTAAGGGGTGAAACCAACCCTCAAATATTAGAATATTTTTTATTTAAAAACCGGTGAGTTTTTCGGAAAAACTCTTAAACACTTATATTTTATTTTGTTGTTTTACATATTTTAAGATTTTTTAAAAATTTATACAGGGTGTTTCATAAAATATGACCAATGAGTAATCACGATTCTGCTTAAACTGCTTGACGTTTAAAGCTGATTTTTGTCAAACGGATTGACTGTGGGGTGTAGAGGTTCGATAAGGAGGGGTTTCTCGAATCTTAAATTCCAAGAGGGTGAAAACGCCCCTCAAATATTACAATATTTGTTATTTAAAAACGGTTAGTCTTTCGGGAAAACGCTTGGACACTCATAATTTATTTTGTTTTTTTACATATTTTGAAATTTTTAAAAAGTCATACAGGGTGTTCCAAAAAGTTGGGTAATTGATTAACCACGATTCTGCTTAAACCGCTCGACGTAAAAAGCTTATTTTTGGCAAACGGATTTTTCGAAAGTCAAATTCTAACGAGATGAAACTACCCCTCAAATATTACTAAATTATATAATAATATCGCCATGTTGTTTTTTCTCATGCTGACATAAATGTGAGAAAATTTTATCCAGTTTGTATGTTAGTGGAAATTCTTGCTTTGCTTTATCATGTCCATTACAAAATGATTAATTCGACGCGAACGAAGTCGCGGGTACACGCCACGCTACTTTTTAAATAAAGTTATTGTACAACGATAGAGTACAGTCCATTAACTCATTTGTTTTGAGGTTTACAAAAAAATTGTTAAATATTAAAGTTATAGGGAAGGTTAAGACACACGTTTTAAAATTATTATACAGTATACAGAGTGCTTCAAAAAAGTGTGACGGATATAACATATGCTTTTTAAATGCAACACACTATGTTTTATTTTAATGTTAGATTCTGCGTAAAATTCTATAACTTTTTTTATAAGTAATGCTATATGCCTAAAATTAATAGTTTTTGTAATATTTGAATTTGTTTAAACAAATATCAGATTTCAGTGTGGTAAAAAATTGTCAATGATGCCGTTGTTTCTGAAGTTGGACTACTAAAATTTGGTAAAAGAGTCTTATAGAGATGAAGGATAAGATGCTGTGCTCGTCATAATGTGGATCAACCTGCTCTCACTACCGGTTTCGGGGCCCTACCCCATCATCAGGTGAGCTTGGGTATTTCCACAAAAGTCAGCGTGGAATTAATTTCTATATTAGCAGTTCAAGGCAAGAAACTCTTATATAATTTTATTATATACCTAAAAACTGCAAGAAATTTATTTTCCATTATATATTTTGGGCTAGCCGAAAAAAACCTTTATTTACTATCGATAGTTGTGCCTCGGTGGTACGAAAGTACTACCATTGCACACAGGCCGCTATCTCGCGATGCGGGACTTAATATCTTACCGCTACTTTACGACAAGTCGTATATATATATTTGCGCTGTGCTCGCTCGTCGTTTTGTGGAAATACCCAAGCTCACCTGATGATGGGGTAGGGCCCCGAAACCGGTAGTGAGAGTAGGTTGATCCACATTATGACGAGCACAGCGGGAATTAATTTCTATATTAGCAGTTCAAGGCAAGAAACTCTTATATAATTTTATTATATACCTAAAAACTGCAAGAAATTTATTTTCCATGATATATATATATATATATATATATATATATATATATATATATATAAGAAATCTTATATATATATATATATATATATATATATATATATATATATATATATATATATATATATATATATATATATATATATATATATATATATATATATATATATATATATATATATATATATATATATATATATATATATATATATATTAGCGCGTATAATTTTTAAAATTTTGTTAAATTTGAGAAAAATGTTCAAAAGTATTAACTTGCACGAAATGTTAATCAGACACAAGATTCACATGGTTCACAAAAAATCTATTTTTATATTTTCCTAAATGTATTACCAAATTATGTCGATATAATGTTAACACATTTATACTTAAGGTGCGATTCTATAAATATTTCTGGCAATTTGCCTAGTATTTCTTGTTTCCTATTTGTCAGTGTTAATTAAGTGTAAATAAGATATATACCAATCCCTCTTAAAAATATATTTTTAAAAATTTTAGTAAAAGAGATTTTTTCCGTTAATCTGTCAGATTTTACGTTTGACTGTTAAGACACATATCAAAACATGCCATTAACCTACAGAAGTTGGAATTTTGAATAGATTACAGTAAAAATGTTTTTTTTATGATTTTCCATCCGCATATCATAAGTAAAAAAAGATGTTGAAAATCGTGCATTTTCTTTTAAAATTTCCTGTATATTTTAGAAAACTTTTTAGAACTGCTGTTCACTGCAAATTTTCCCACGGTATAATTTCGTAATCTTTGATACTGCACTTATTTAAGATTCACTCTGTTTAATCCAGACACGACATACGCTACTGAAGGGTTACTGAAGGGTTATATTTTTATTAAACGACTGTTATACAACTGTGCGTGGTGTCGTCAAATTTAATTTTGAAAGCCTCAGACATACAACTACTACGTATTTTTGGAATCAAAATTTGTGTTCATTGGACACAATTTAACTCTATACAAAAGTGCTTCGTTCTTTAGTGCTAGAGGATATCAGACTTAAAAAAAAATAAACACATTTTTTTAGATATTTTGAGAACCGTTATTCCAACTTGAATGAGATTTTGGGTGTCTATGTTTTGCTAAGTGTAGTTTTTATCCTTCTCGTACTTTTTCTAAATATTTATGAAAGTCGAATTTTAAAGCGCTTAGCAAAACATAGGCATACCAAATCCCATTCAAATCGGAATAACGGTTATTAATAGAGTTATTTTTTATAGAAGACGATAAAATGGTATTTTATCGTCGACCGAAAAGGTTATTAATGAATTAATTTCGGGAGACGATAATGCAATTTTATCGTCGTGTATAAAACAATATTTTTTCCATAGCGAGTTACGTTTTAAAAATATTCAGAAATTGTTATTTCAAGAAATTTATTACGAGTAGAAAAAATATTATGCTGGGTTGGCGTTGGTTTCTATATAAATTTGAAATAAATAAAGCTGTCTCTTTAGTTGTCAGTTTTGAGTCAATATTTTTTAATTCTTTTTCGTGTCGATTGCTGATTGAACTGGAGCCAGAAATGGCTCAAAACGAAATAAGTAAATTACCAACAGATATTCAGGCTGAGGCGACAAACGCCATATCCAAACTACTTCCATTTAAATCCCGATAACTTATGAAAAGGAATACAAAAATTTTCAAAAATGGAAGCGATTAAACAACGTGCGAGAAGAAATTAAATTTTTAACCTATCCTCGCTGTTAAAGTATCATTTAATCAACTCTTGCGGTTAAAGTACTATTTTATCTACTATTTTTGATAGGTATAAAGCAATTTTAACAGTTGCTATAGAAAAAAATATCTTAAAAATGTGTTTATTTTTAAAGTTTAATGCCCTCTAACGGACAAATGTAGCACTTTTGCATAAAGGTAACTTGTGTCCAAGAAATTTATTTTGATCCCAGAAACACGTACTCTAGGCTTCTCCAGCATATACTGCTAGTTACGCTATGAGTACTCGCTTCGAAATTCTTTATAAACTTCTCACTGATGTTGTAAAAATGGATTTACTGGACTTATAACGTAAATATCTATTATTTTTATTCACAAATTACTCAAATATTATACTAAGTGTTACGGGACTTAAGATTTATTATCTCAATCCTCACAGTACCATAAAAAGAGTGCGAGAAGACAATAGTATTCGTAAGGTCCATTTCTATGGGAAGCAAAACGTGTTTACTATTGTTTACACGAAGTGTAACGATTGGGTGGCGATTGCATATTGATCAGCAGTACTGTTAAGGAATAAACCGAGGTGGTACTGATATAGTTTATATTATTCTAAGCAGTTCGACCACCTTGATAGATTCCTATTATAATATCAGTAACGTAGGTACCATGATAGGTCTTTGTTATATTTTTCATTTTTATAGTAAATAATGATTCTTCGGCACCTCTTTTTATTTAAAGATTATATTTAATATTTATTTGTTTCAGTATAAAATAATTCAAAATAACCAGGTCAGAATAATTGAGAAATCATATACACCAGTTTTAGGGCTCAAAAGCACTGATGATCAGGTCGCAGCGACCAGCATTTGATTAAAAATTACCCGACTTATTACTCTAAAACCTTATTTTCCGCATTAAGTAGGTACTTGATCAAAATAAAAAAAGTAGAAATAAAGTAGGTTATTTGATACAGAATCATAAAACATGCCTTTATACAGGGTGGTCCGAATTATATTCAGGAAACTTTGGCAGCATATTCTGCAGATAAAAATAAGTAAAAAAGTTCGTATAAATGTATGTCCTAAAATGCTTAGTTTCGGAGATACAAAGTGTAGAAATTTCATTTTTATTTCGATTTTTTCTAAATAATTTCTGAAGTAACGTCAATATTT